AAATATTGATTATTATTATTATTATTATTATTATTATTATTAGGCTGATGAGAGAATACAACATGATATTTAGAGCATAAGAAAACATTTAAATTAATCTCCAATGTCACAAATCATCTCATATTCAGAGTTTTAAATTTTAACTTGTATCACACTTAGTAAGTAAATTAAGCTTTTCAAAGCCAATAAAGACAAGCCATTCCCCTCTTGCTGACAATAAGTCTTGTTGCTGTTTTTAACAATTCTCTACAATTGGGAAAATGTGCATATATATCCAATATTTGAAACAGTTGCACCATTTGACAGCAAGTCCATCATCAGAAATTATGACTGATGCAACAGTGAAGGAATGTAGAGGCATAAAGCAGTGAGATAATTTTCTTTTCTTTTTTTTTCTGACTCAGAATACTGTCGTTCTGCATGATCAAAAGGACACAAAATGAAGACGTGGAAATTCAGAAATGCAGAGTTTGCCACAAATGTCAAATTTAGATTGATTGTTTCCTGTGACACTAAACCTGTTAACCTCTATGCTGTCATTTTATTTTCATCCATTCAATCAAAAGGCAATTGTAATGCAAGTTTGTGACATTTCTGTGAATATTTTGATGTGATTTTCCAATAGAGTTGAGACAAGCAGATCAAAAACATGTTGTGTATATGCTTAGACTTTTCTCGCAATTGTGTATTGTGTCAATGTGTTTCATTTAGATAAAGTCCCTTCCACCTGCTTCTACATTTTGGGGTAAACATTCTTCACATTCACATAATCTGTTTTATTATTTTAGGAGGTATAAATACCCTTAAAGTGTAAGAATTAAACTCCAAATCAACAGTATGCCGGTCTAACAAACCATTCGCTCGACCACTGTGCATCACAAGCCACTGATAGTTCAACGCAGATAAAGGCAGCAGCAAGTTCTTTAAGTGTCAATTAAGTGTCAGTCGCATTGCACAATTGAGTAGATGATAGCTCACAGTTTTTTCTGCTGTATTTGTTGCTCTTAGCTTTCAGGGAAAAAATAAATCATAGCCATCAGTGTTGCAGATTTACAGCTCAGTATACTGAGCACACTCACAAATAAATCACAATGACGGTGATGAGCGAAATACAACATTCACACTTTGGGGATCAGAACAGGGTCACACTGGAAATCTGTTATTGAAGTCCTAAACCTAAAACCTTTTTTTTTTTTTAAAGAAAAGTTTAAAATATATTTTATGAAAAGTGCTGCAATATGTTACTACTTAAATAAGAAAGCAAAAAAAAAAAAAGATCTTGTATTACATACAACTTGTATTCACACAATCACAAAAAGATTGGTAACATCTTCTATATAAATCTACCCACAAAAAAAAAAAAAAAGATCCCTTCAATATTTCAAGTCCTTGACCACAATAAGATTTAATCAAAAACAGCAAAGATAGTAAACAGATACTATATATTTCTCCTGGGAAAAAGCTCCCAGTATAGAATACGCAAACAAAGTCTCAATATGTGCTCAAAAATACCAAAATACCAAATTCTGCTATTAAAATGAACTCTTAGCTCTTTTATCAATAAGGAAGGAATTTGTCACAAAGGAAACTTCTTGCTGTGAGGCATTGAACATATCCATTTTTTAGGGCTTTTTATCATTTATTTATTTATTTTTTTATAGTAAATAAGTATTAAATGTTAGGTTTGCTAGGAGAAATCTTTCAAGCACTCGCAGTATAAAATTATTCAACTAGTTTACTGAGAGTGTTTTTTTCATCAAGTAGTCTTCATCTACTACTTTACACATTTACACTTAAAGCTAATTTAAAAGTATACTTCCATAAACTAAAAAGTGGGCCAGTTTACTCTAAAGGCGTACTGAAATAGCCTCCTGAGACCCTGCATCCTCATATGAGGACATTATATTTGAGTGAATTTCTCTGAGACTATACATGCCACAGTTTTAGTCTGGATGTCCTGTACAGAGCACATTCAGGGCTTTTCAGAGATACTAAATGTTTAGATGTTTCACTATGACCACTCCCTCTCCTTGGTCTTCAAAAATGTCTGATATTAATTTAGTGACACTCTTATGGAAATATAATATTTTGTAATTATCATTTAAATCTGACTGATTTTTAAACTGTGTCATAAATCAACATCTCAGGAAAATGTTATGGGGTTTCAAATCAAAATATGACTTTCTGTTACGAAACAGGACTTTATACAAAGTTTGGTAAAAAAAAAATAAATCCAGAAAACTAAAAATGTATTCGTCATAAAAAAAAAATCAATTGTTTTTGCCTATGCATGTTCATTGTCTTTTTATTTTTCTTTAAAAAATTGAGTCCCAATATCCTCTACTAAGGGCATAGCATAACTTATGAATTAAATATAATTTTTACTTTTTTTTTTTTACATTTTGTTTAATGCTCTAAACAATGTAATGACATGAAAAAATACTATTTTTTTTCCTAAAATGTTTTGCCGGGTCTTAAGAGGATAGTACACATGCGAGAATACTACTAGTGCACTGATATTAGTAGACTTGCTACATAAAATATACTTCAACTTTACTTACATTTAAGTTAAAAAACAACTTGAAGTATGCATCTTTTTTTTTTTTTTTTTTAAGGGAAGCTATTCCATC